ACCCTATTGATCATTTTTCTCTTAAAGCTGTTTTCTCAGCAAAATAGCTTTCTCAACTCCACTAGCTGTTATTGCTCTTGCCAGTATTGACAGAAAAGGTAATCTCCTATTTTCAGATATTATTTCTAAAATTTAAGAAAGTTTCCGCAGAATCTGCGTAAGGAATTTGTTACCTTTCTCCTAGAAAGTCATTTGGCATTCCTGAAAGTTATGAAAGTTTCGTATAATTTTCCTCGCCGAAATAAAGATGGCACCAAGATAAAATCTGGCTCGGTGATTACTACTCCTATCTAATTTCAGATGCTATTGGATTAGGCTTCGGCTCAAGTAGAATAGTATAATGAAGTGGGTTCAATTCTCGGTGGAGCAATGCCAGTGAATGGAGCGTGATTGCTGTGGATGTTGACCTTTGGACTCAATTGGAGAACTTTCTAGGAACACTCGTCTCTTGGCATTCGATGGAGAGCTTATTCTTATCTCTTCAAAATCCACGCGCCTACCGCATAGTTTAATTCTTGGAGGAACTGTTTGCCAAAAACAAAGCAAAAAAAAAAGAAGAAAATACCACAAGTGTCTCACTAACAGTAACAGGCGACAGTTTGAGCGCTGTTAGTGTAGTGGTTAAAGCTAAGGACTCGTGGCTTTGAGGCCTATTAATAATAACTAAGCACAAATCCAGTTAGGGTTGTGGGAATGAAGGGGTAGGATATGTGTCAGTCAGCTAAGTTAGAATTCGGCTTTTACGTACCGTGTCCATTCAGGGCGTAGGCGATCATGGCACTCCACAATTTCCGGTTCTTTGTAGATCTTAATAAATTGTCTATTTTTTTTAAATCCCTCCTAAACCTTGCTCCGACATCCATTTACTCAGTCTTGTTAGGTAGGTTATGAACTGCTTTCCTGAGTCCCTCTTTCCCTCAATTTGTCCTGTGAGTATCAAGTTTTCCAAGCACCTCCTTCTTCATTTCGTGCCCTCGAAATTTTCCCTGCCCATAACTGATGTTAAGAATGTTTTCTTTTTGTTTCCATTTTCTCCAAATCCTCGTTGTTGCTCACATGTTAGGTCCATGGTGTCCTCAGTATCATTCTGTAGGACCACATTTCTGTTGGTTCAAGTCTACTCCTTATCTTTGAAGAGATTGCTCAGCATTCGCAGCGATACAGGAGGATAGATATCACGTATCAGTTGAGTACTCTTTCCTTTGTTTCTAACGAATTATACTTAAAATCGGAAAGAGTCATTTGAAATTTCTAGGATATATAATAATTAGAGAGCTTTTGGATAATTTGACAGTCACAAGTCATATATTAAAAGCAAGAGGAACGGAAACTTAAAATTAATTTGATCACAAGTTTACCCCCTCCCAATATGAATCGAACTCAATATTTATGTTAAACAAGACATGATCGAACTCACTATTGATGGTCAATCAAACTCGTTTTTAAACATTACCTCATATGAAAGAGTAATGTTTAACTACCCTAACACATAAGCCATTACCCCACACCGAGGTTCCCTTATTATTCAGATTAGCTTAGTTTGTACAAGGCATCGAGTATTGAGTACCCAGTGTCTATCGATTTCATTAATAATGTTCAATCAGACTCGTTCGACAATCATTTTCCCACGCCGAGGAGCCCGAGTAATTCATGTAATAACAAATAAGATTTCATTAACGATTTGCATATTTCATTCAAGGTTGGGATCATTTCTGTTAAGTAACCCCAAATAATGTAAAGTTACTTATCAAAAATATTAATTCACCCAAGTAAATATAAATTTTAAATCAAATTTTGATTATTTTTTTATTAAATTTTTAGTACTCTTTTGAAAATATAAATTTTAAATTAAAATTATGTTTAACTTGCCTGCACAACACCCCAAACCTTCAGAATGAAAAAAATGCCAAAAATCAGGGAGTTATTCACACTTTGTAAGTACGGATGATATCCTAAGTACTTACAAGAATTTTTTTACAATTAAAAAAAAAAAAAAAAAAAAAAAGAAAAATCCGTTTTTGGCTTCTTTTTTTATCGGTGAGCGCGAACAAAGACCTAACATTTAGAAATAGCACAAATATTTTAGTAAATATAAATTCTTTTATTTTAAATTTAATTAATATTTTAGGCTGAATTAACACAAACGATTCAAAAGTTTTAGGAATTTGTTCAGGTAACGATATATTACAATTCAAAGTTACCTGTAAGTAATTAAATTCAACGATTTCTACTTTTGTTACTATAATTACCTTTTCTATTTTATATTGACACACTATTCTATTCAGAAATTGTTTGCCTTAAACTTGTTACTGTTGTTGCATACAGTTTTTATAGTTCAATAAAAGTCTGTCTTTATAGTCCAATAAAAGTTCATGCTTCAATAAAACTTCAGTCTTTTCTATGATTTTTATTCACTCAGTTAATTATAGTCCAATTAAAGCATTTTAGAGTTTCATTAAAAATGAAAGGTAATTTAAACTGAATTTTCTTTCCTTCAAAATTTAAATATATTAGTATTCTGGTGGTACTAATGTCAAAGAACGTCGTTCATTTAATTCTTCCTATTTTGAGTCAAAGAGTGGTGAGTCTGTATTCTTTAAGGTCACGTAATCAATACAAAGAATGTGACCATTTTTTTAAATATGCAATATCATTGCTTAAAGAAATATTAACACGTTGACAGTCAATCACGAGATAAATCGTCGTTGACAGTTTTTATTATGTCGGCGACAACGACTTATCCCGTTCCGTGGGTATGACGATGAACTATATCCGGCAGCAAGGTCTCTGATCGGAAGAATTGAGGTTTTGAGGAGCGTGGAACCACCTCTTAACTGCTGTTGTTCCCTGATCTTCCCTGACCTGGAGTGGTAGCATCTGTTAAGGTCCCAGCTATGGACAAATAATGAACCCCCAAGGAAAAACAAAACATTACGTAAGTATAAATATACCAGCAATACATTTTTATATAAAATAATTACCAACAATACCTATTTAAAATAGAATTACCAACAATACATTTCGTAGTTGATGAGGCCCGGTGGAGTTATGGATAGCGGCTTGGATTGAGGAATCGGAGAGCCGAGTTCGAATTCCAGTCGAGTCCATTGCATTCACTTACGTGCTAATAACCTTGGGAAAGATATAAATCTTCTTCGTGTTCTATATCCTTTGATGGCAACTGGTCTACCGCAGAAAGAAATGGCATCCTACTGCGTGAAAAAAAAAAAATCTGCCTCGTCAGTCATGTATCGAAAGATACATGATCGCCTAAGCGTGTATCACGTAAAGCACATAACTGACTGACATTTCATAGCAAAATGACCAACACTACATTCTATCTGCAGTTGAAGGCATACAATTGCTGTCAAAATATAATTAATTGAAGCTATATATTCATATTTCGGTACTAAATAATACATAGAGGCTGACATGCCACTAAACAAAATCACCCAAACAAGCAACTAATATGAAGGAACTCTTTCATGACAATCTATATAATAACCTACAAAATCTTAAATCAATTTGTACTTAAAAAACAAAACAAAACTTAAACTAAGCTACAAAATAAAATTCACATACACGGCCTCTAATAATTATGTTCACACAAACATGTATATGCTCAAAAGTTGAGAATCATCTACCATGTATTTAATTGTGAAAGCAGAATAATATATATCATTAATTCATTCCTTCAAAGCTTCCAAGAAATTAAATTTCGGCATTAAATGACCCATAAGGAATTGATGACGTTACGCAAACAAATCAAGCCATTGTGCCGACTACGAATTATCTCGTGCCGACTACGAGTTATCTCGTGCTTGCCATTTTCTGATTCATTTTCATCAGCGGACACCAACAATGAGTTTATTCCCAGTGATAACTTTTAGTGCGAAAACTATATTTAAAACTGTAGCTGGAGTTATAAATAAACTCATTAAATATTTTTTTTGCCAAAGTTGGCTATTAAAAAGTTGTCTATGAAAAAGTTTGATATTAAAATGTTGACTTTTTTTTGTTTGATGCTATATTTTATAATTCAACTCTGCCAGTCAACGTGTTAATATTGGAATTCGAAAATGTTAATTTTCTTGTTGAAGTTTCACTCCTATCTGAGCATTATTGAAACATAACTGAACAAAATGCGTTAACATGACAAACCTGTGCATCTAAATGTGACCATTTTGAAAAAAAAAAAAAAATTAAATGTTGATTAATTTTAAGTAAAAATCTCTGAACAAATCAGTAATTTCTGTACCTAAGAAATATGCTAAAATATTTTTCTTGTTCTCCACTCCCAAAAAGCCCAAGAATCACTCAATTTAGAAAGTTATTGATTGAGTCTTTTGTAAGACTGAGGATTTCAGTTATGAGGATATGTAGGAAGACTAACGTGAAGTGGTTAAGATTGTAGTGAATGGGGAAGCATTTTTATTCGGCAGTCTGTTCCACCAAGTAGCAGTTATTGGGAATAAGCTCTATAAGTGGAACTTCCTCCTTACATAGGGAATATGAAGATTATGAGGATGATTCGTCCCTGTGTACGTAACACGGAGGGATTTAGCTGTGGCGGTCAGAACTGGTGCAACTAGGAAGAGAAGCTCGTGAGAACATTTGCAATGGAAATAGCAATATGGTAGACAATGGTTTTCGAATTTTCAACTGTGGGAAACGAGTTCTACAGTGGGAAATAATTCATCGCCCCCCACCCATGCTTTTGGAGGATTGGCAACCGTACCCCATACTTACTTTGAAGGAAAATAAAAACAAAGAAAATTGACTATTTACTTTTGGTCGTATACGTTTTATTTTCATCACCTTAATATTCTTTCATTCATCTTTATTGTCTCATGTCTGACAAATATATTTGCATTTAGGTTCAGTGCAGCTCTGCAAGTTATTTTGAGTGCTTATAAGAAACTTGATGACAGAAAAAAAAATTGAGATGAGGCAGTCAAATATACTGTCGTATTTTTTTTAAACCTTCTACTATAACCGGCTTACAGCCATATCACGTTGAAACATCGGTTCTCGTACGAACACCGAAGTTAAGCAACGCTGAGGCTTGTCAGCACATAAATGGGTGAGCACTTGGAAGTACCAAGTGCTGAAATTTAGATGTGCAGGTGGTGTAAAGGATAACGTCTCGAAATTGAAAATCGGAGAGCCGAGTTCCAATTGGGTTCGTTATAGTCACTTACACTCAAGTGCCTTTGGGATAAGCATGAATCCACGTTTTCTCCCCCAGTTATGGGTTAATTAATCATGACCTGAATCAGTAAATCATTGTTATATCCAAAAAATTCTCACAGTCTAAAATTATTTTCTGACTTTAAATAACCTGTAAAATGTTGATAAGCCGTAAAAAAAATTAAATAACTCCAACAATCAATCACTCCGCATTCGCCAGGCGATGAAACGTAAGCTTCGTCATCGAGAAATACAGATCTAGAAGAAAGTTACTTTTTCAGGTCTGTGGATACCCCAAATGTTTCTAATATGAATTAAAAGTGATCACTTTTTTTTTCGCTTTACGCTATTCAATCTTGCGAAAGATATTACAAAAGAAATTCTCTATTTTGGGATTTCGAAGAGAAACATATTTACATTACTCGGACTATTGTCCTCATCTTTTTGCCCATATTTATTACAACCTTTCAGTCGTTGTACGCCCCGGCGTTCTTCAGGTAGTTGGATTGTCTACCTGAACCCTTTATTTCGCTCTCTGGGGTAGACTGTTCTAGTTTCACGTACCATGTCTACCCCAGTGAGTGTTCAGTTCGACAATCCAACCACCTGAAGAAAGCCGGAGCGTACAACCGCCGAAACGTTGTAATAATGTAAATAGTGTACATAATACCTCATCTCAGAAATATAGACAGATACTGAAGATAAACCTATATTAATTTTTAATGCAATTAAATTCCGAGCGATTAAAATACTTTCTTAGCGATTTGCTTATATCCCTTCAAATTAGACGTACTAAGAACGAGGCTAAACTAAAGCAATAACTCCATACAAATTCATAGTATTTGCATTTTTCGTTGAAATTTGCAGCTCCAAAAGTAGAATTGACTAGCCGAGTTCGAAATCTCAGGTAGTTTTTCCAGTCACTTCCATTGCTTGAGGCATGGATCCCTTTGTCTTTGTTCGTAAAAGTTGGTTGATTATCTTGAACATATAATTTCCAATGGAATGGTAAAAGAAAGATTAAAGGCAATGTTCTTCCAGTCGTACCAATGCAGTAGCAAGTTTTTAAATAATCGAGACTGGCGTTAATAGACAGATCGGTAGTTTCAAAAAAACTGTTCATTGCAGCCAAAAAATTTTAGCTTTGGATTTTTAAAGATGGCCACCATTAAAAAATAAAATTTCCTCTGAAATATTTGCCGCTCGAAGGAGATAGTAACTTCATTCGTTATTTTTTTCTTTTTTCTTTTACAAGCGGAACACTAGCATATATTTTACTTATTTATATTTTCTTCTTTCGATTTTTTTCGTTATCTTTGAAAGGATTCACACTTTACTGTCTATGGATTTTTTTTCTTTTTACTTTCACGTCGATTCTTCGCATCTGGAACGGCCCTGAGGCTAGAAGAGGGAAGTTTTTAATGATTGATGAAGCGAGAAAATGGCGGACTTTCTTTCCTCTAGTTTTTTTTTTTTTTTTTAATTCGCGCTTACATATTTGTTTGTTTACATGTTTTGTAATGCGGAGGAGAGGGAAAATAATCATTTCGTTAAAGACAGTAAAAGAGTGTTGCAATTTGGCGAAAATCAGCGGGAAGAGGTGACGGGAGGGTAGATAAGGGGTTGCATTGATGTATAAGAACATTCTGAGAGAGAACAGAATGATATATATATATATATATATATATATATATATATAAATATATATATATAATATCCTAATAAAAAAAAAAGAAGATCCTTGTATAGATATATGTTAGTAGAGAAAATTATGGAAAATAGATAAACAGACAAAAAATATAGATACAAAATACATCATCTCAGATGATCCAAATCTATCTATATATCTATTACTTTTTTATTTATACATAAATATGTTTATATATTTATACAAAAGAAACAAAACGGACAGCCAGACACTTTATATTTTGTGGTAATCGGAAGTGATAAGGTAATTCAAATTATGGTCCTGTCTTATTCGAACGCATTTTCCTTACATAAAGGTTTGTCTTTTAATCTGAAAAATCCAAAAGCAGCAGACGTTCTCGGCGAAACGCATCGTTTATACTTTTCTGTTTATCGTTTTCCATTATTTTCACCCACATATATGTATGTGTGTTTTTATAAAGAAATACCAAACGCTAATATACCATCTACAGATACCACAGCCATCATCATAATCATCATTTATGTTACGTGTCTTTCAGGACACAGTTCTCCACAACTTCCTGTCCTTTGTATCTTAACTCTTTACTATCTCTCCTATTCGCACAAACGCTACTTGCCATTTCCCCCTCTATTTCCTTTTCCTTAACACGAATAACATGTGTATATTAAATTTTAAACAGATATGCAGACAGACACTTTCTTATGTCTGGTCATCGGATGTGATAACGTAAATTTATCCTCAGAGATCCCAACGCATTTTCATACGTACTTTCGGCAAGACGCATCCTTTATAGATTTTCCACTTTTTCTTACTCTCTTTACTTATGTACATTCTACAAACACGCATTAACAGGTATATAAAGATATTTCTATGTTGAAAGACGGACGCAAAAACTATGTAGGGGTAGTCTAACTGATATATATATATATTTATTTAAGAGGCTCAAACACTAATATCCCATGGTTATAATTCATTACATTCGAATCGTAATCAAGATTCAATTCATCAGACCTATAAATTCAAGAAGCTTTTTGAATTTGAATTCAAAAACATTTTTTAATTTGTAGGTCTGATGAATTGGATCGGATTACGATTCTAATCTAATAAAATATAACCATGGAATATTAGTGTTTGAGCCTCCTATATAATATTTTTGCTCTGTCCTGGACATTGAGCTCTACCAGGATTCAATCTTCTTGGGAATATATATATATATATATATATATTGACCACCAATATTATCAATATATATATATATATATATATATATACACACACACACACGCACATATATATCTCCCCACTGTGGCATGTATGTGTATATATGTATATATTATGTGTGGGTATGATTATGTATGTGTATGTAGGTGTATATATGTATATATATGTGTATACATGTGTGTATCTATGTATGTGTATAGATTGTATGTATGTGTTTATTTGTGTGTATGTATAGATGTGTATATGCCACACACACACACATATATATATATATATATATATATATATTATTTATTTTTTAATTATGAAGATGAATTATATATTATAAATTGTATGTTTCTAGATATGATATTAATTTCTCATTGTTTTTATATATATAATGATGATTGTTATTATATTGACGTAAATTAGATGATTAGGATATAAATTTTTATTTAATTTCAATGTATTTTTTGACCTAATACATTCATTCCTGTCAAACCGTGAATTGAAGGTAGTTCTCAACGGATTCTCCTCCAGATCCTATTCCACGAACGCAGGTGTACCTCAAGGCTCCATCCTAGGCCCCACTCTATTCCTTATATACATAAATGACCTTACTGACGCCATAAATTCCCAAGTTGGCATCTATGCAGATGACACCACAATTTACTCCTGCCTCAAAAACAAATCTAGGGTCGCTGACAAAACTAGCCTGGCCGTGCGTCTCGAAAAGGACCTCCAATCTGTTGTGAACTGGGGCAGGAATTGGCTGGTCAACTTTAATGCCTCAAAAACAAAACTGCTCTCTATTAATCACCACAGAGATCCTTCCCTGCCCTCCATTAGAATGTCTGATGCCCAACTTCTCGAGAGCAACTCTCTGCGGCTGCTCGGTCTCACGTTGACTGCTGACCTGAGATGGAACAAATGCATTGAGTCAATTGTTTCGTCCACCGCGCCTGGAAATTTTTCTCCCCAGAATCGATCCTTCAGATCTACAAATCAACAACTCATCCTTGCATGGAGTATTGCTGCCATATATGGTCTGGAGCCCATTCTGTTTTCCTCGGGGTTCTTGATAAGCTCCAGAGGCGGATATGCAATATAATTGGCCCTGATCTGGCATCTCGTCTACAGACACTTTCTCACAGACGCGCCGTCGCCTCTCTCTGTCTGCTTTACAAATACTTTCATGGCAATTGCTCCGAGGAGCTGCATTCGCTGGTTCCCAGACTTCATGAGTTCAAGCGCCCTACGAGGCTGGCATCCCACTCTCATCCTTTCACTGTCGAAACTACTAAATGTAGCCGTCTCTTCTACTTCAATAGCTTAATGTCTCGCACCTCTCGCCTGTGAAACTCCCTTCCCTATTCCAGTTTCTCTGAGAGCTATAATCTCCAATTATTCAAATGTAATGTCAATTGACATCACCAGTTGCCTTGATCTATCCAATATCCTTCTCCTCATCCTTTCCTCAATCACTCCTATCTGATCTTGCTCCAAATCTTCTGTAACCCCTTGCGTCCTAGTGGCTTCCCGCCTGCTTGGGGTGAAACGCTTAAAAAAATGTGTTTCACAGGTTACATGGTCGAAAAGCGAACGTTTAATCAATTGCCCAAGCGCCTCTATAATATATATGAAAGTTGTTGACCCGAGTAATCGAGCATGTCTGCTTATAAAATGTTAAGATATAAGTTAGGACAACGATTTCAGTGAAACTTTACACTATTAAACTAATTTCCCACTGACGGTGATGGCTGCTAGTGAAACCATACCTGCGCGTCAGGAAAATAAATTTATTTGATTAAAGTTATATACAAAATAAATTACTATGTACAAATTTAATATTAGGCTATATAAGTGAAAATAAATATGAATAATTATCTGACAATGTTAAAAACAAATGAAATCAATGAAATATTTACACGTGATTTATATAAGCATGTTTTTATTCATGAGTTAGTTCAACTGGCATCTCCAGGCAAGATTGAAAGATCAATCTTTATAATTTGTAAATGTATGTGTAAGTATTTATATATGAATATGTATA